ACAAATAATTAAACTCAATTATCTCAAAATAAAATATATGTAAAAATGAGCCCTTTTAATTGAAGACACTCCATATGGTTAGTCTGGTTAACTGGTCTAAGTAATTTTGTTGGCTGGTTCAGCCCAAGTATTTGGCATCAGCCCATATTACTAATTTAGAGTATAATTTATGACTAGTGAATTTAAAAGTTTCATCTAATCTATCAAGTTAGATTATACAAACTTAATAAACTGGTTCTTATAACCTGGTTAAGTCAAATTTCACAAAATTTTTAAAAAAATTTTTGGTTATATTTACTATCTAGGTGAAGTTTTTTAAAAGTTTATAAAAATTTTTACATGTTTTTTTATATATAAAATTTTTGAAAATAAAATTAAAAACTAGATTTTTCAAATTTTATTTTATGAGAACCAAAAAATTAACTTTATATAGCCTTAATAGTATTAATTATCTTTTTAATATATATATATATCGATAGTTTTACAATTATCCAAATTTGGAATATTAAAAATTATGACATATATATATGTATATATATCATTAATAATACTAAGATCAGCAAAATATAAATAGCATAAATTATAAATAATGCAGAACATAAATGTGATTCATATTCTCTATATTACATTTAGCTATTTTTATTTTGTTTCTATTTTTAATTATTGTTTTAATATTTATTGTTTTGATAAAAACTTTTTATATGATTATTTTATGAAATTTTTATATATAAAGTCATAAAAAATCCTTGGTAGACTTTATAGTTCAAATATATTTTTATATTAAAAAAGAAATAAAATATTTTAAAATATAATTTTTGTATTAATAAAAAATTTAAAATTTTTACTTTATAAATATTATTTTCTTGCAAGCCAAAAAATTTAAACATGTTTAACCTAAAGAAGATATAAAGAAATAACTTAAAATTATACAAATAAGTAATATTTATATAATTATAATTGTTATAAAATTTTAATTTATAAATATAAAATACTTATATTTTTTTTATTTTTAATATAAAATAGCAAATTTTGGGTTGAAAGTGTTTAAATTTTAAATTGGCTACAAAAATATTATTTCATATAATATTAGTTAAATTTTTTTTGCATTTAAAATTATATTAAATATTTATTCTTTTTATAATTATAAGCTTATATATGGGTTGTCAATATGGCATACTATTTTCAATAGAAAACAGTCAAAGATTTTAAATTTGAGTTGCTTTTTTATAATAAAATAATTAAGCTCAAAGATTTTTTCACTATGTAAAAATCTCTTGTTAATAAAGTGAACCTCAATATATAGTAAATTTACAAAAAATAGTGAAAAAATCTTAAGCTGAATAATTTAATTATAATTAAAGTAAAAAAAATTATTTTAATTTGTATATTAATTAATTAAGCTAGTAAATATAAAAAATTATTTATATTAATTTAGTCTATAAGTAAAAAAATATTAGAATTAAAAAAACATACTTTTATATAGTCTATTACTTTTCTTATATTCTATAACTCTATATTATTAAATATACAATTTATCTTTTAATTTGTTTTTTTTTTAAATATATTAAATTAAATATTCTATTTTTTCTATCTTTTCTTTTTCTCATTTTATTTGCTTCACTTTGAAGCTTACCAATTTAGATAAATTTTAGACCATTCTAGTAGATTTAGATTGCAGATAAAGAAGTCTAAGCTTTTATTCTTGTATATAGTTTTTCTTTTTATATTTTATACCAGAAATATAGTAAAATAAAGTATATAGTTTACAGACAAGTTGCTGTATTCAAAATCTTAAATTCTATTAGACAGCATAATCATTGTAAATGCATTTTTTTTAGTTATGCTTTTACTTGTCTTGATAATTATATTATTTTACAATAAATTAAATAAATAAATAAATATTTATATTTATTTATTTTTGCCACAAAATGTTTTATTTCTTATTATATTTACAGGCTATTACATATCGATTGACTTCCCTTTGTATACAAAAATATGGGATTGGTTTTTTACAGGCATCCATTATTGATGATATTAGAATAAAGCAAAAACTACAGCGCGATGTACTAGCGGATATAATACCCAGTGCCAGAAAGGTATGTAGGTATCTGTACATATTTCGTGATTACAAAATATATACACGCATTTACTATTTTTCATTTTATAACTGCTATTTTAGAAAGGAGGCAAGAACAAGAAACGACAGGTTACAAATTCAGATGATCTTATTAACTCTGGCATTCAGGAATCCAATAGCGTGAATATTGATGTACAGTGCCTTAGAAGGTTTGCAAATTTAGTTCATACATTTGCTACAATTAACATCTCATCCGCCGTCAATTAATATAAATTAAATCTCGTCATAATTTAAAAATTAAAATCTTATTTCGTTATTAATTAATATAAATTAAAATTTTCAGCTTTGAAAGCTTTGTTACAGTTAGTGGCTCCTCGATACCTTGTAATTCTCGCATCACTATCGATAATATCATTATGTCACGAATTTTAGCACCAATTTCCCAATTTACAAACTCTTCGAGTATAACTCGGAACGAGAGCGACATCCAGCTAAAGTTATATGAATGTTTACTTGCTTCAATTGTTGCTCCGTCAGTGTTCCAATCTGGGATGGGTGGGACGATAAAGCCAGCCTTCACTACAAGGTGAGCGATAGCGAAAGAAAGATAACCTACTCTACTAACTAAAAGCCCTTAAATACGTTACTAATTACATACTCAGAACCATATGATTACCCCCTATTCTCAGTAATTCACATTTCAACAATCATATGCAATCATCATATTAACCAGAAAAATACCTGTATCTTAACAAATTCCATAAAAGACAACGTGAACATGTGATCCCATAAAGCCATCTGATCTCGCACCCTGTCACTTCGTTGACAGGCTTTTCAATATTATATATTTTATTAAACTATACATGTTCAAATCTATTCGTGCTATACATTCAGATCTGAATATTCTTCAAAAAATTTTTATCTTACTCGGTCATATTTATATTTTTTTTTGCTCATCATGTGCGAAGATAATTTTTTTATGATCAAAGATTCCATTCGTGCGGAAGGTTTTTATACGTAAAATTTTTTTGATTTTTTACATTTTCAATATTGCCTGTTAGTTATGTCTATGGCGTTTCTAACATATAAAACTTTTTTTAAACAAAAAGTAAATTGATATCTATCGCTATTGTATTTACTATTGTAATACTGCTGTGCTATATTAACACTAGATAGCTGCATGATGTTATCGTGCAAAACCAGGAACAGAAAATCTAACATTTGATTGTCAACTGGACACTAGATAAAATGTAATAATTTGCGTCAAATCGATTACTTTATCTTTCAACTGATTACTTTTTCATCAATCAAATCAATCAATATGGCATTTATTTATGCTGATTTTTATTATTGATATCAGATATGCGATATATCCCTCAAGTAATTGTCTAAGTGTACAATACTGGTAAATGAAGAAAAATAATGATTTCGGTTAATATGTATAAAAATCATTAACATGTAAACAAGCAATAGTGTAATACCAAAGTGTAATACAAAACAAAAACATCCAAAGAATTTTAAAATTAAAAAAGGAACTTAACTAAGTTGTTTCCGACTTATCCAATCGTAAAAACCGCTTCAAGTGCTTCTCCCTATCTAGAGAATTTTAAATGTGGAAATCTACTGTACATGCTTCTATTATCTAAAGAATTTTAAATGAATGGGTATATTTCAGAAATAAAAAAATCTCATTTGAGTATCAAAATTTTGAAATCGGAAAATGAAATGGAATTGTTTAGAGACTTCCATTTAACGAAATAAATAAACTTTTCAATGACAAAATCATTATTATCAAATTTATCGGAAAATGAAATAAAATCGTTAGATTGCTCATTTGAAAATAAATACGTTATCTATTTTTGTCATAATTAGTTTCTTGCATGCTAATTCTGAAAACTCTTACTATTTTGAAATTTCAAAACGAGCACTATTTTCAATGCATCGATCTGTTTAAAACATAAAAGACGACTTTAAGTACTATGATCTACCTAGCGCTAGTGAATTT